TGATGTTTTTTCATGTGTAGTGTATTGTGAATTTGGATGATGCCATCATGATTTTATGGAAGCAGAAGTGATTATTGTTGCGTCTCTCTCTCCTGGTTTGCTAAGAGGAACATGTCAGTCACTTGATAGCCCGGCCATAAAGCCTAACCTGCTTTTTGTGTAAACTAATCCAAACATCACAAGGGGATATTGTGCTGTGTGCTGAAAGACATTTGACAGCAAACTAGACCACCAAGTCAAATTGACAAAGATGAGCGGGCACATTGTATTTTTTTAGTTGACCAAATCAGCTGATCCTCATTTTAGAACTCACATATAGTAGAGTTACAATGCTGGATATCCAAGTTTCAGATCATGAGGTAAACGTATGTTGGAGTCATCCCAGGATGAGTCTGCAGAGGACGCTAAAGGACTTGATTACCGAGAATTTCGCACTTTTTTTCACTTCAAACCTCTATTAGCCGCTAAAACCTCTTACATAGACTCTCTTCTCCCAGCACTGGAGAGCAGCCCTCCCCTGGCAGCCCTGCAGCATTTGGCCTCCTGGAAGACTTCCAGAGAGCTGGCCAACCAGAAGAAAGTGGGCATGTCTTAAAGAGACAGCAGCCTTCCACTTAAAAACACTCAGGGCAGATACTCAGATCCTACTGTCATTACAACATTTACACATTTTGAGCCGCTGCTTCGGTTTAAGTTTGTAAGCCCTCAGATCCCCCCTCCCCTTTTTTGGGGCAATTGCCTGCCTTGCCTGTTGACAAGCAGCGCCTCTGATTATGAGCCCTGAAAGCACCAACAATGGAAGCAGCAGTAATTTGCATTTGATGGATTGCCCGTAGGCGGTGCACTGTGGGAGGTGTTGGTGGTTTTCGAGCTGCCCAGTTGGAGTGTGGTCACACTGTCTTTACTAATCTGAGCTCCATCCATCATTCACTCACACCGAAAGCCTGCATGACTGATGAATGAAGCCTGATGCCACACATCAATCCATCTGTTATTTTTTTCACTTTGATGAAATGTGTCCGTAGTGACAACTGAACGTTGGCTTTGACTCATTTACTGGATCAGATTTTTTCTTCTTCAGTGAAAAGATAAAATTGGCTCTGCAGGTTTCCTACTCCCACTAGAGGTCAGAATTCACATTTCAGATCTGCACCATTGCTTTTATATCTGTAGCAGAACTGATGCACTGTATTTAAAAAGGGAGAGGTAATATCTGTAATGTGCTTTTTCAATCTCCTTTTTAGGAGAGGAAATCTTCGGCCGTCAGTCATAGCTGGACCATTGGTGAGAGGTCGTCGCCCTAGTTTTTGTGGTGTGTCCTCCTTCGTCCGTCGCTACCTGTCGGCCTTTTTTCAGCTGATTTGACATGTCCAATCGGCGTCGGCGGTCGGTGAGAGGAATCTCTGATTGGCTGGTGGGAGGTTTCATTTCTCTCCAGCTCTCCTCTCAGGTTCAGGAAAGCCCCTTGAGCATGTCTCTGTAGTCTCCATGCTTTCACCCATTAGTGTGGTTTCTCCTTATTTGTCTCCTCCACCTCTTCTTTTCTTTTTCCACGAAAAGACCAAGAGCTGACAACGCCAGCGCCATTTTCTACTTTTTATCAGACATTATTCTCCATTAGTAGACCACCTATAATACGAGTGGTGACCGACAGCGGTGTGAAAATGGTCTTCTCATATCATAACAACAGACTACCGCCCCCTGCTGGCATGGAGAGATATTTCCTCTCACACATGAGCAGAACGTAGGTGGTGGTTGGCCGTCGGCTGGAGTCTTTGCGGTGTGTTCAAGTGCAACTTTTTGGCCAAGACACTAGTTCTTTGCCTTCTGCTTGGTGTGTTAGGGCCTTTATGTGTGTTTGTTGTTCTCTTTAAACTAGTTTTATACCACATACATTGTGATTCTGTAATTACCGCGGGAACTCCTTGGTCTAATTTCTACAGCTGTGCAGCGGTGCTGGTCCGGTTGGAGACGGTTGGAGAAGCACACATATTTGATGGAAGTTTGGGGTTACAGCCCTTAACCTACACATTGCAAATGTTTTTGTACCCGTTGGTAAAAGCAACCAAAAAAATCTGTAAGGTTAGGGAAAAACATTTCAAAGGTTTAGTTAAAGAATTCACCTTCAGAGGTTCAACCGGACGTGTACAAAGGAATATCAAAACAATGTTATCTACTGCAAAGCATAACTTGTCCTCAAGGAAGTTGTGATTTCCAATTTCATGGTAAGTGATTCTGGTTTAGCCTCCTCTTTGTTTGCTTTATTCCCTCTCTGGTTATAAACACACACACACACACTGAGTCGACTCCCACTGTGGCTGGGTGAGATACCATCAGTGTTTTTGATGGTTCGTAATGTGTTTTCTCTTCCTCAGAAATGAACCCAGTTTGTGCTGGAGCACTCACCTTGAAAGCTTTTTCTATGGAAGAGCATCAGAGTCCTTTATGGCGGCCTTGGCAGAGCTGCAAACCTCCATTCATGTTGTGTCTTGTTTTTGTTATTTTTACTGCGTTATGTCTCTGTGCCGGCTTTCTCTGACTTATTCAGGCAAAATATGAATGCAGGTTCTGTTCAGCTGTTCGATGTGCAGGTCTCATATTCATGTGCTCAATGTGCAGGTTGATTTTTAACACAGGTTTGGTGTCGTTGTAAACATAACACCTATATCATGAAATCGAGGGGATTCTATTTAGAGAAGAGCAGAAGCTGGAGCAGAAGGAGGCTCCAGGTCCACGTGGTTCAGCTCAGATCCAAACTCAGCAGCTCTCAGCTGTTGCTCCTGACAACGGTTGGGAGGAAGGAGGGGTTTGTAGCTGGCAAGGGTTTTCGGTGGAGTAGACACGTCCAAGCTGCCGAGCCCTCCCTGTGGGACGGGGCCCGAGTGCATAGTCCTGATACTTGGCTTTACTCATGCGAACCCTGCGGGGCCTGCAGAGTCAGGCTGCGTCCACGAGGACTCACAGATTCATGCACACAGGCTCCTTACAGACACGCAATGTGACATGTTTGAATACAAATTCAGACATTGATAGGCTGACTAAATCTCTACGATCGCTGCCCACAGTTTGGTGGAGACAGAATGAAATAAGAGGGATAAATGGAGAGTTTTCTCCAGCTTCATATTGCATTTTATTTAAAATCACAAGCAGCAGACATTCTGTTAGTCAAGGAGGTGAAATGTCACAGTGTCAAAAGAATGGCTTCAACTCCTATCTTCAATATGAATATAAAGAAAACAATAGTTTAAATTTTTTTTCGGAAAATAGAGGGGGAGAGTCCTTACCCTAACCCTAACCCCTAACCCAAGACCAATATAAGATGCGACGATGAAAGCAGCAAATTATTCTATTTGACAAGATTGAAGAGAAGAATTGTTTGTTTTGGGGTTCAGAAAATGGCTCAATCAACTATTAAAGTAGTAATAATTAATTGTCATTCCGTTCACTTAAAACACACAAACACATGATGGTTTAATCGTTAAAGGTCACATATTCTGTAAAATCCACTTCTCCATGTTCCTCTAACACTAATATGTGTCTCTAGTCCGTCTACAAACCCCCCAATGATGAGAAAAGTCCATCCTCTCTGTCTTCTGCCTGCTCCACTTTTCAGAAAATGTGTGCTCAAACAGGCCGTTTGGAGATTTTCCCTTCATGACATCACAAAGGGCAGTAGCCCCTCCCCCAGGTGGGTGACACTCCCACAGCTAGGTGTTTGTTCTGCCCTCTGAGTCTGCCTTCTCACCGTAAACAATAGGACATGGAGAGAGAAAGACTGAGTACACCCAAGTCCTTCCAGAGAGGGGGCGTGGTCAGACACAGCTCATTTACATATTTAAAGGTACAGACGCAGAAACAGCCTGTTCTGAGCAGGGCTGAAATAGAGGGGTTTATAGACATGATCAAATACAGGATCAGAGTGGATTTAGAACAAGAAACTTCACACACATGTTTTGAGGAGCTCTGTTTTGTGAGTTCTTCTTAATCATGAGTTGAAAAACACCCACCACTCACTATGTTTAATCTGGAGCAGACATAAACCTTATCTTTGATTAAAATCGGACATTGTGAGGATTGTCCATATTGAGTGATGTTGTCTCTCACACTCACACTGATGTGTGTCAGATGCACCAGGACCGTTCAAGCTGTGCAGGCATGGTGTGAGTGTTTTTCCACAGCCGAGCACGGCAACCAGAGAGAGAGGCTGTTTACTTTGATGACTTGTTGGAGATGTGACGCCTCTCACTACAGGAGCTCACTGTGGCTTGTTCTGCGACTGTCGTTCCTCCTGTTATATTTAAACTAACACACTGAAGACTGCACATATGCAACACACCCTCATACCTCTACTCCAGTTGTTTTGATCTGATGTCTGAGGTCTGTGGTGTGTTTAGAGAGATCTAGGGGCGTTGGGCCCCTCAACATTAACAAAACACGCTTTCTATAGTTGTATCAAAAGCGAGTGGTGGGTATCGACGACCTCTGTTGTCGGGCAGATTTAAGAGTTTAATGCTAAACATAGTGTCTAGCGTGTGTCTGTGTCTTAGTTCATGCAGAGGTTTCAAGAAGACCAGAAGTTCATGCGGAGGCCTCTAAAGAACAGGAAATGCGGGTGCCTAGGTTTGACTTGTACAACAGTAATTTGTAAATGTCACAGCTCGTTTTTAGCATATCAGCATGATGATATTTCCATGACAGCGTGCACTAGCCCACACTCAAAGCGCGTCACCAATGAGAGAGTTTCTACTGTGAGTTTGTTGTTGGTCGTTTGAGGAGTGAAATTGTTTTTCTTCATCATGTATTATGATAAAGTTTAGTGTTTTCTTACCGCTGAATGAGACATGAGACGACGCAGATGGAGCACTGAGGGAATGCTACTTTCAAAATCATGCAAGTTTTTGAAAATCACCAACCCTGCCTTTAAATATGACATGTCCACAAGTAATTTAACCTCTGTAACCACTCTCCTCTAAAAGTCTCACCCTCTCTGTGGTTTTCAGATCCCGAGGTGAGCCCAGGTCCAGCCTTGTCCGTCCGTTTACGAGCTCTGAAACTCCCGACTGAAACTCCTGTCAACATGTCTGCTGCTTCCTCCAACCAGCTGATCCTCCTCCTGTGCTTGGTAAGCTCACTTTAATGCATTTTTATTTTTTTATGTATGTGCAAACTGACTCTGCATCAAGTGGAGAACAGAAACCTGATTTTTACACGCTCATTCACATTTAGAGTAACCATATGGAGAGTCTGCATCAATAATTCATTGATCTATGTGGCAGGACTGACGGCTGAAGATGCGGTCTCATTATTTATTCATTGTTTATTCAACATTATTACTGTCTGCTGAATCAATGAGTCAGAGGAGGTCTTTGTCGCCTCCTCTCCCCCCTCCCTTCATCCCCTCCATGAACAGCTGACAGGAAAGTGACCCTTTGTTTCTGATGTTAAATGTGAGTCATCACCTTTGAGCTGAAGAAGTGTTGTCAGAGAAACAGAGACGAGGTTCAGAGAAGATGGACGACAGCATGTGGCTATGGAAGAGGGGGACTAACCCAAGCACGGCGCTACACTAGGGGGCGCTATGACCCCGGTGTATTTTATCACTGTTTGATGAAATCTATAAGATCTTGTACTTCATTATTTTCTATTTCTTGGTATTTCTTTGTATTGTTAAATATTGTTAAGAAGTCATTGAAAAGACAATTTAAAACAGAATTAACACATTAAATGTTTGGGATAACGAGAGAAGATTTCCAAAAGGCATCTATATCGTTTCCACTACCGATGCACACGGCCATGTTGCCCCCTCACCCCTCGGTTTGCCAGACAAACGCCAAACAAAGTGGGCGAGAGAAGTGGTTCAGATAGAAGTGATTGTACCCGACCTAAAAAGCCTCTGCATGTTTCTAATAAGCTCCACGAGCAGAAACGTGCTCAAACTAGGATCAATATTGGAGATGCTTTTGAAAAATGGAGAGAGGTTAGAACACAGAAAGGTTTACAGACCCATGCAGAGCTGGATAAACACTGAAGCTTCAGAGTCCACCACATGGTGACCTGAGTGAGCATCCACTCTAGAGAGGAGGGGGGGGGGAGACAGCTCTCTATGATGTAGTACCCATTTTAAACACTAGGTGTCAGAGTTACATACTGCTCCTTTAAAGCAGCTTTGTTGGTTTTATTTTACTGTATGACTCACACATGCACCCCCCCACTCACCCTGAATGAGCTGATGCAGCTCATTCAGGGTGAACACAGTTTGACCTCATTAGTCATAGTTCAGTGTTTCAGGGCAGGCTGGTGTGACAGAATTAGTCACAGGAGGTTAAACAGCAGAGAAACACACACTGATGTTTACTGGCAGCATTTCATGTTAAAGAATGAATCAGAGGGTTTAGATAAAGCTGTGAAAAGTGAGGATGAGGGGGTCAGAAAGGTGAAGGTTTGATTTTAGACCTCAACAACACACAACTATTTCACTTCAGTGCTCAACATTTCATTTATCTAGAGGGGAGGAAACAACGTCAGTCAGTGCTAACAAGTCTTAAAGTCTGGGACACAGGTGCTGACAGGCGGAGCACAGAGGCAGAGCACAGTTCCAAACAGCATCAAAACCATCCTAATATCATCATCATCAATCTCAAAATTGGGCGGCAGTAGCTCAGTCTGCAGGGACATTGGGGTTTGGCTGTTCAAGTCCCAAAGTGTGGAAGTGGGTCTGGTTGCAGGTGAATGAGCCTTTTTTGGTTCAGGCAGGTAAAAAAGGCTTTTACAGTCGTCGAGACGTGATGAGATAAAAGCATGTCAAATCGTCTCTGTGTCTTTAAAATTTTAAACAGATTTGAGATATTTCTGAATTTCCTCTAAACCCGATTATTTATGTGTCTAAAAACTCATTAAAGATGAAAGTCCACATTCACATAACAGCAGTCCAGAGATTGAAATGTTCTCCATCCATCTGTCTTCACTGCCAGTGTAGTCCATTCAATCCTGCAGACTTGTGTTGTATGTCCACACTCGTTTTCCCCCAAAACCCCCCTGAGTCCATCACTCGGCTAAACGCTCACAGCACGACTCCCCCGAGCGAGTGCTGCTGACGTCAGAGGATGAACTGCTCCTCTGCTGCACCTCGTAAAGCTGTGACGCCAAACGTCTTCTCACCAGACCCCCAGCCTGCGTCCCGGCGTCAGCCCCACTTTGTGAGGCTGTCGGGGGGGGGGGGAGAGAAAACGACTCCTCTGGACTTGACCTTCTGTGTGTGGAGTCATAGTTCTAGGACTCTTGCTGTCAGTGTGATCTCAAACACTCCTCTCTGTGCGTCCGTTTTTCTAAACAGATGGGGGGTTACCGCCTGGCACGGTCGGCCCTGAAAAGTTAAGTGTGAAAGTGTGAAAGCCTTTCCTGACTTTGTTTTCCGGAGAGTAATGCCCCCCCCCCCCCCCCCCCTCCTTCTCTGCTGGGTCGGTTAGCAGCCAGCTGCTCTGATGAGACGGTGTGTTTAATTGGTCGAGTGTTTAAACAGATCCTCTCCCACACTGTGGTGAGAAAACCACCGCACGCTGGAGCTAATGAAGCGGCCTTTTTCCATTTTACCTTTGGGTCCTTCCTCTGTGCTCACACGTTCTCCCTCTGCTGTGTGTGTGTGTGTGTGTGTGTGTGTGTGTGTGTGTGTGTGTGTGTGTGTGTGTGTTTGTGTTTGTGTGTTGTTTTCCAGGTTTTCAGCCAACAAGTCGCCTCAAACTGTGTGATCAAGCGGGAGCAGGAGAAATGCATGGAAATGATGGCCTCCGACGAGCCAGGGAACAATCCAGAGTTTGGTAGGTTTCGTGTAATTTGTTGATGTCGTAAACCGTTTGAGTGACTAACAGATTAACGAGAACATCCTCCAGGCCTCCGTACTAATGAGCAGGAGACAGTTCTGCAGACCACATCGTTAAAGTCCCTATGGAATGAAAAATACATTTTCCCACCACATGTCCAGGTCAGCCTCTTAAATGTCTCATGACTCGTCCTGCACTCATTTTTTTTTAAACTTCTCTTTATTGGGGTTTTTTCTTTTTCAAATACATATTAAAAGAAATCTGAGACATGTTTAGTCATACCTCAAACCAAAACAAAAAACTAGATGAATTTTAAAAAAGAAGAGATTTAAATAGTAATAATAATACAACTTGGAGGATGTCAAGTGCTCTGGATTTTACTAAATTGTAATTTTTTCATGGGGTTGTTTTTGTTATAGTAGTCTATAATGGCTGCCATATTGAGTAAGACATCTTTTCTTCCAATCACTAAGGGTGTTCCACAAGGTTCAATCTTAGGCCCAGCCCTTTTTACAATTTTTAGTAATAAAATTATTCCATTATTATCTAGCGACCATTCACATGCTCACTTATATGCAGATGATACAATATTGTACTGTATTGCTAATTCTGCTCATCTTGCCATGGAGAACCTGCAACATTCCTTTAATGTTCTCCAAGTTGCACTTAACGACATTAAATTGGTTTTAAATGCTCAGAAAACTAAATGTATGTTGTTTTCTAGGGCTAAATGTGAAACTGATAATAACCTTCACATTACCACCCTGCTAGGATCCATTATGGAGAGAGTTAAAGCCTATAAATATCTCGGTATATGGATAGATGACAGACTAACATTCAAACTTCACATTGATAATCTTACTGTCAAACTACGTCAAAAGTCTGGTTACCTATATATAAATAAATCTAATTTCCCCATGTTCTGTCGGAAAAGGATAATTGAAGCAGTTTTTCTTTCAGTTTTGGATTATGTTGATGTGGTCTATAGGCATGCCTCTTCCACTACGCTAAAGCCCTTAGATGCTGTTTACCATTCTGCAATTAGATTCATTACCGGTGATAGCTACATGACTCACCACTGCATTCTTCATAATAAAGTTTGAGAGACGCAATAACCACTGGCATCTTTTTATCTATAAAGCCCTTACTGGAAAGCTTCCATCATATATCACCTTCTTGCTAAATCTGAACCCTGGTTCATTTTTAACCTGCTCAAGTGAGAGGCTGGTTCTCCAGGTTCCTCATGCCAGGACGGACCTGGGGAAAACTGCTTTTAGTGTTAGTGCTGCAAACTCCCTGAATATTTTACAACAGGACCTGAACGTGAGCACTTTTATCCCTTATGGAAACTTAAATGAAATATTATTTTTAACTGCCCAACACCTGACTGTAACTGTTTTATTTGATTTTAATTGCTGACTTATCACTGTAGTAATTTCAAGCTTTTAAATTATTTTAGTGTATATATTTTATTGTTCTTATTGCTCTTTTATTGATTTTATTTTCTGCAGTAGCTTTATCTCGTTTCTCGTTGTTTACCATTTATGTATGTTTTCTCGGCATCATTGTAAATGAGGGTCGCCCTCAAATGATCTCTCCGAGAACTTAAATAAAGGTTGATGATGATATTTATCGTTCCTCTCAGGGTAAATTTTATTTTTTCTAACTGCAAATGTGTCATTACATCATTAATTAAATAAACTTGAGGATTTTTTGGTTTCCAGTTCGTCCTGCACTCATTTTTGACCAATCAAATTTTTTTTGTGCTACATGTGCGTCCAATTAAATTCATCCCACCGTTATGTCTTGCTGTCAGTAGTCAATACATCATGACGCCACAGTTAGATACTCTTTAAATTCTGGGAGACTTTACCGCTCATTTCGGCCCCTGAGTCCACTAAGGCTGTTCTTTTTGGCTCCGCCCACTTTCAATACAAATCCAGTCCAGTTCAGTGTTTTTAGTGGTCAGTATGCTAAGCTAAAAAAAAACATCAGTATCAGCTGTTTTTTTGTCACTGCGCTCACAGGGTTCACAACAGCTTGACTTTGGAAAAGCGTCTCCCTCACTGACCAATCAAAATCAAGAAGAGGCGGAGCTTTTCTGACTCATCATGTCAAGGGGAGAATTTCTGCCAGGACATGACTCCTGTACATAACTTTCATGTTTTCTTTGTGAAAGTTCTTTGAATAAAAACAAATAAAAAGCACACAGATCTAAAACAGACCATAGTGTCCTCACCGTGGGAAGTGGAGGTTAACTCTTGTAACCATAGCAACAATGAATGCTCGTGTGAACCACGCTGCCAGCACAAAAACTACCTTAGTGGACAGAGGAACTAATGTTTCCTTCACACATCAAAATAGATACATTTGTCTAAACAATCATTACCCACGTACCCTTGTGCATCCTTTACATCTCACACAGGACTACATTTCCCCTTCTCAGCCATCCAACTGACATTCAGTTCCCATCTGACCTCCGCACAGCTGTTCTGTTGTAGTTGTATGAGCAGTGGTTCCAAAAGTGGGGGGTCGGGACCCCCTGGGGGGTCACAAGACACTGGGAGGGGGGTCGCGAGTTGCCTTCCAAAAACAAATGCAAACTGGAAATGACTTGACCCATTATTGTGAAATTATCTTACAAAAATGTTGTTCAATTAGTTTAAGGCTGCTGTATTTTGTATTGTTGTTCTAATGTCACGGTTTAGATCGGCCCATTAGTGCGTGCTGCTGTGTGTACCGTTATGCTTTAACCACTTCCAGGGACAGAGGGGGTCCCCGGTCTCTCGCATCGTTATTTTGGGGGTCGCGGGGTGAAAAGTTTGGGAACCCCTGGGCTAGAGGACCACAATGGAAATAAGCCCTCAGGCTTTTTTTGTGTATTTCAATCCTCACAATTTTTTTTTTTATATGGAGTCTGATATGATCAGCCTGTCATGCATGTGTTTAAATGTCTTTCCCTGTGCCAGGGTGAGCTAACATCATATATATGTTTATAGTTCCTAAACAACTAATGCTATCTTTCCTCAAAAAGTTCAAACATTTGCCTAAGTATTCTCCTTCCTTGTGTTTTTGCTGGTCTGGTTCCAACTGTTGGATACATTGCTCCACACTGCCGCCACTATTTCAGGTGATAAAAACACTTTAAATGCAAAAAAAATGGGGAGGGAAAGCAATCAATTCAAAATAATTCAATCTTCATAACCAAATCTAGCTCTTCAGGTCCTGAGAATATCATGGAATAAGGAAGAGGTTTTTTGTTGTTGTGAAATAACCAAAAACAACTCAGCGTCTCTGCTTATCTGTTTAAGAGAGGAACTCTGCGGCTGAGATTAAATGCTGCTTAATTAGAAGTACCCTGATATGACCAACAGTATACTTACAGAACACTTGAGCACATCACATGCTCAGTTTGTGCCAGAACATTTGCAGAAAAAAGAGCAAAATGAACTAAAGGCAGAAGACTCATATCCATATGCAGATCAGGTTTTAGGGATATGTGAGCTTTTAAAAAAAAACATCCCAGTGTGTGTTGACTGCAGCACAAACAGCTACAGCAGAGCCGAGCAGTGAAAGTCAGAAGAATAAATGATGCGTTAACGTTTCTGCGTCTCCAGAGAGAGTGAGTGGCGGAGGCTTTAATTGGCAACATCTCATTAAAATCATCCTTAAAATTAAAGTTGATGGGTGGGACAGTGATTGACAGGCGGCCGTCTGTCTGATTATTTGATGGATGAAAGAAAGATCTGACGGGGCGTCTTCTTAGCCCTGTTCAGCAGTCTCTCTTTGTTTGGACTGGCCACAAGGCGTCTAATGAGTCCTTCTGTCATGCCAGATACAGCATTTGCCAATTGTCCATCCATCCATTATCCTACGCTTATCCGGGGGCCGGGTCGTTGCCCCAGACTTCCCTCTCTCCTGCAACGTTTTCCAGCCCCTCCTGGGAGATCCCAAAGCTTTTCCCAGGCCAGAGCGGAGGTGCCACTTATACAAATCTTTAAAGGGTAGGAGTAAAACAGAAACTACGAAATAAAATCTTAAAACTACAGCACACAGAGGGGCTGATTTCTGCTCTCTCTGGTGTTGCGTTAAGATAAATCACATGATGAATCTAGGGGGAAAGCCTCTCTGCTCTGACCCCTTTTGGTTGAAAACGGGACTTAAAGTGGGACAAATCTCACAGTCACTAATAAGCGTTACTCTTGTGAGAAATGGAGAGTTTTCCAACTCGTTCTCGTTCTTGCAAAATGATGTTGCAAATGACGCTCAAACAACACATATGACCACTGCAGACCGCAATTTTTTTCTTATTTATCTCTAATTTCTGAAGGAAAAAAAACAAAGATGATTTAAGTGCTTACAAAAAAGCATGCAAACTCTTGCACGCTGATTAAAATACAGAAATACATTTATTAGCAATTAAGTCTATTTCAAGTCAGACGTTAAGTATTTATTTACAACTGAAAGTACGACCACTAACCTGTTGAAAACAGCCTTAAGTCCCGCCTCTTATTGGGCAAATAGCCAATCATTTGAATTGTGGGGTGGCACCTGGGGTGACCAGTCAGATTTTCCCATGGCCGCCCCCTGCCTTCAACAGCAACAAACCGAGAAGCGGGCTGTCCTGACATAAAGTCGTAGAAGACATTGACTGAACGTGTTTTCTTATTTGTTCATAATGGCAGCTGGCAAAGGAGGAGATGTTTAACTTTGTGTTTTACAAACTTGCATTTTTTGAAAAGTAGTGTCCCAATGAGTTGCATCATGGCAGCGTTTTCCCTAATAACAAACATGTTGTGTGTCCTCAGGGTGTCCGTGGATGTGGGACAACCTGACGTGTTGGCAGCCTGCCGTGTTCGGAGAGGTGGTGGAAGTGAACTGTCCTGAACTCTTCTCTCAGTTCATAAGTGAAGAAGACTTCGGTACAGTGTTTTAAAGGCTCCCTACATTCACCTGTTAAAATGAGTCATTGTTCGGCAGCTTTACTGAATTGCAGGTCAAGTAAACTGAGCTGGAGTTACACATTCACATGTGTTTTGATGTGCTCCTGCACTAAATTTGACTTCAGGGTGAGGACATTTGATCAAAGTTTGACTTCTTTCTGCTCCTCATTTTGGCCTTTTTGTGAATGTAAACTTGATTTTGGTATTATATTTGAATAACATTATGATGTCTAACTAAATAATGTTGATAAGAGTTCTAGCAACTGGTTTGTGCACTTTGGGCACTGCCACCTCTTAACATTCAGAAAGGACATTTTACTTAAAGTCTTAATATGTGATTTTTCACACTTAAATGTAGAAATCAAGTCTATCCTCTAAAAATAACTCTGTGAGTCATGACTGTCTACAATGGGTATAACACCCGAGTCCCACTGTCTGTGATGTTTTCAGAGTTTTCAGAGTCCTATCTTCAGTTTGTTTACATCGCCCGGACGGCCGGCTGACTCCTCCCCTCGTGTATAAAAGTAGTTTAATTGAGGGACTAGAGAAAAGAAGAATAACATACTGTACTCACTGCTTAACTGTGTTTCTAGATCACGCTCATTTCAGGTAAATTTACATGCAGTGTGAAGATACCAGCATAATAAAGATCGCTAGCATTAGCATGCTAACACAACAATGCAGCGTGAGTTGTTTTGGTTTCATGCTGGTGCTCAAGGGCGACATCTGCTGGATCAAAAAAATTACATATAAAGCCTTTAAACATGTCAAACATAAATTTATTAAATGATACGATCAATGCGCCTGGTCTGTCAGCGCCGTCATTAAAATGGGCTTCCAATCGTACTGGTCTACTTCTATGTGAATACATGTCGGCTACTTGCTGGTCGAGGGATGTCGACCCCAAATGGAAGTGACAGTGAGACCTGAAACTTATGCCAGCCATGAATGTCTTGAAATGACATGTCTATAGCTTAGCGAGTAAATTTAGGTAGGCAGATTTCTTTGCTAAATGTTTGTGTTTAATATCTTAAATATGATGATGAAATAAGATGTATATCTGGACGTGTCAGGTGAAGTGGCTTATGATAA